AGAGAGAGAGAGAGAGAGAGAGAGAGAGAGAGAGAGAGAGAGAGAGAGAGAGAGGAGTTGTGTAGTTAGTTGTAACTATAATTGTCTGCCAACATGAAATGCAGGTACTCAAAGTGTGTGAACGAACGTATGTAGGCAAGTAACGATCGCAATTACCGAAAGTAATAAACGCAGCGCAAAAACGCATGTTACATATTCGCTATCAACGATGGAACTTACATCAACAATTTTACGACTCGTGTTTTCTCGCAAATATTAACAACTGAACGTTACAATGCGCCACACAATCGCACTCGTTCGCTGATATGCCTCTGATATATTGCTTTGACTTACATAAAATATACGAGGAAAATAAATAAGTGAATAAATATATAGTCGAATAAATAAGAAGATAAAAATAAGTCGTAATTGTGATACGTCTAAGCGCGTTTTATACGACTAAGCTTCCGTCTCTTGTCTTTGGTAGAAAAAACCTAGAATTAAGAGAGGAAAGTATGTGACTCGTGATTGACGGACGGACTCGTGCAAAGGAGAACCAGAATTAGGAATATATCACGTATCACACGAATATATATCGACCAGTCCGGGGCACTATCAGTTCCGCTTGTCCTTTCTACGCTAGGAGTGTAATTGTTCGGCGATAGATCTCGGAGAGAATTCACGTCTACATCCGCTAACAAGTCCAAGTCGGCTGTTACAACTTCATTCTCTTTCTCTCGTTTGCACGACGCCGCACAATTTGCACGTGTCAGCGTGTCTAATTGTCGCGTAGGATACATGCGTTAATCGACATTGCGCACGTAAGAAACGTCCGACTCGAAACTCGGACCGACCGGTGCTTGCGCGAAGTGATTTAACTCTTAACTGGAAAGACGACACCTTTGCAAACTTTGGATAGCTCAAATGCGAATTCGTATAGAACGGAGTTCTATCTCGCAGCTCGCAGCTGAGAAAGTAAGGTGCAAGTTGAGTTAAGCGACAGGCGATATTATGGCGATATCCCGATATACTTCTCGCTCGGTATTTTTATCTTCAGTAGCTGAGGGTAAAAACGAAAATGGAAGATGATTGTGAAATTCTAACGTAAAACGGTCGAGAGAGCCTACCGCTCGGAGCATACCTAAGACTAAGACACAAAGTTCCGTTTATTTTGAAAAATACTGTACACAAGAATACCTAAGCCGCGTTGACGCTCGCTCTTCGCGTTTTAGACGAGTATCGAAGCTGCGACTATCTTACGACGGGGGGCCGATTACATTTCCGTCGTAACGAAGAGGAATAAACGTGCCGGACGATGACAAGATTGGATAGAGACAGGTGGGAAATTGATTTTTTTTTTTCCCCCAATATACAGCATCCATCCTCCTCTTGTGAAAGCGTAAAACTGCCATTTCAGTTTACTTCTTTAAGAATCGGAAGAAGCCCTTGCTCTTATCTGGCGGTGGTGCCATCAGCATTGGTACTTGATTTTTGTGTGTAATTCGAATCTGCGTCAAAAAAATCTTTTTAATCTTTACGAAAAGACTTTAAATGAGAGAGAGAAAAATAAAACTATAATAATATAATTAATAAAATTATAGATGCGTGTAAATTAATAAAATTATAGGTGTACACACTCGGTTACAGAACGGTTTAGACAGTTTACCCAGATCCATTTAGGAACGAAACACGATAGTCAAGGTATGCAAATCACTGTTCACGGATTTGCACAGTGACTGGTTACGAGAGCAGCCGAATACAGCGTGAAAATAAAATGAAACACGATCGCGGATTTTTTGTTTTGTTCCTATGGATTTGGAAAAATTGTTTAAATCGTTCTGCAACTGAGTATATCTATATTCATATACTGGTTGAGTTGTGTAACGTTAGATTCTAAAATATCTCTGTTGTTTTTTACATTAGAGAAAATTGTATGGTAGGAAAGGTTAGCTGACCACAATATTTATCTTTTCCAACTACACAATTTATTCTTTACACATATTTCTATAATATAAAAAACAGCAGATATACCTTTCACTACTTGTATCTAATCGTTAGATAACTCATCTTGTATGTATACATAGTTTTTAAAACGAAATTGGAAATCAACTAGAAAAATATGCTCGTTTTGTTTCCTCTGTAATAAAGTATATAGTATGAAATATTTTGTTAGAGATTTCTGCTTAACCCATAATCGGTACAGCCTTTTTAATTAAGCTACTAATACAATGGGATCAAATACTTTAGTCAATTCTTGTCATTTTTAACTTTTTTTTATTAATTTTTTATTAACTTTTTATTCAAATGAGTTGAAAATAATAAAAACATTTACAGATGATAAGTTTAAAATTCTTTTAAGAAAAATATCATAACAATACACTAGGGTCAATCTGACTCTAAACGAAAAATAAAATCGTATAATATACAGCTACTTATAAACAACTCGATAATCTTTTTTTTTTGTCGTATTAACATCTATTAATCGGAAGGTAATGAAGGTATCAGCACGACACAATGGATAGTTTGGGAATTATAATAAAAATAAAACTCGCGCGTAGAAGGATGTACCGATATACCGGTTACGAGTTAAAATGATGAACATAAAATGATAAGATTACATTCAGCCTGAATTTCAGTGTAAATCAATCATCTTATTGATTCATATTGAGATTTACATTGAAAGACTAAACTGTAGATTCGTCTGTCGATCCGTGGATACAAATTCGCATAGCGTGCGTGTGTTGAGTGGGCGAGTAGTAATATACGCGTTTAGTCCCACAAACTAATAAGAAAAATAGAAGAAAGCAGAAGAAAGAAAGAGAGAGAGAAAGAAGACTCGCGAACGACCTTGACGATAGGGCTTTTATCTTTTGACTCTTGCAAAAGAACTTCGGCACTTTTGTATTTATAGAATGATACCTGACTGATACTTTCGGAAAATATACTCTTGCAGAGAAAAAAGTTCATATATAGGTTTTTTGCATATACAGGGTGACACCGAACAAGGTGGCCAAACTTTGGTACCGTATTCTACTTTTTCTAAGGATGAAAAAAAGTCATATAAATATAGGTCCGGAAACTCGTTCTTTTCGAGATATAAATATTTTTTGTTTATGATTGAGTATTGTAGGAATGTTTAAAACTTACTTAAAGAAATTGCTGGAAATGATTTCTTTCTTTCAACAATATACGCTTCACATCGACGTTGCAGAGACCGTCGAAGACGTTCAAAAATTCCTGGTATATTCCGAATTTTATCAAATGCGGCAACAATCTGGTTTTTGAGTGTTTCCAGACTATCAATAGTATCATTATCATAGACTAAACTTTTAAAATGTCCCCACAAATAAAAATTTAAAAGAGTTAAGTCAGGGGAGCGTGCAAGCCAGGTAATTGGTCTTCCTCTACCAATTTATATCTCGAAAAGGATGAGTTCCCTGACCTATGTTTATATGAGCTTTTTTCATCCTTAGGAAAAGTAGAATACGGTATGGAAATTTGGCCACCTTGTTCGGTGTCACCCTGTATAGTCATATATAATTATATATAATTATATATGTTCACATTAAAAAGAATGCTGTTATGAAGATATAATTGAGGTAAATAATTATATTTATGATAGCTCATAATGTCGTCGTTCAATTGAATCAAATTAAGTTTTTCTTTTTTCATTCAACAGTACTTGTTTTATATGGAAATATATAATTAGATATGGACATATGTAAAGTCACACAAAAAAATTCACATATAATTATATATAAAAAATCATATATATTTTTATATGATTATATATGAATTTTTTTTCAGGTTGTTACATATTACCTATGTCTTGTGTCTTTTGAATCAATGTCCTTTCTAATTTGAGAGTCTTGACTACAAAGCTTTATATAATGCTATCGTTTTGTAACCATCAATTTAGACAGAGATAGTTCTGTGCCATATAATGCGCCATACTGAGAAAAAAATACTTGAAAATTTATAATTAATTTGTGGGGTATAAAGTTTATTCGTAGAAATAAACTTTATATAGGACAAATATCCCTATATAGCACAAATATCCGAAATATATCCTAGAGACGTCCCAGAAATATCACATCGTTTCTGAGACGTCTCTGAGATGTATGTCGGACTTTTGTGCTGTATGGGTAAACTTCATATTCTACAAATAAATTTTCACTATTTTTTCTATTTTCACTATTTTAACTATTTTTTCTCAGTGCACATATATTATCGCTCCATCCAAATATTTTGTTGTTTTATTTTCCAGCTTACCGTGCAAGGGCCCTGCATCCAAGGCTCCCCGTCGATCTGCATGGGAAATCGTTTACTCGTGATTATGGTGATGCTGCTGCATTGGGCGAGTCTTCTGCCAGAATGCCGAAGGCCGGTCTTCACCTGCCCCATGTGTAAGCAGTTCTCCAAGCCGATTACTTCTATGAGATTGTCGCCGATGTCTGCGGAAAGATGAGCCAAACCACACAATGTTATCAGACAACGACTGTTCTTTTATGAATCTGTATATCTGTGATCACTTACCCTGAATAGCGGCTGTGAGATCTACGGAATTGAAGCTACTAGTACTAAGTTCCTTGTCAGGTCGCTTTTTTCGTTTACCGAGACGGTGGCGTGTATGATGTTCACCCCAAAGATTCGAACCTCCGTGAGTGAAAGGAATGTTTAACAATGCGACGCCCTGCAGAGATGGTCCATGAGCCAAATCCAAAGGCGTACCATCGCACTGTAATTGGACAAATGTATGTAACGTCAGGAATTTCACTGTATGTGGATACAAATGCATGTATTCGGCCTCGGGAGTATTTGGTTGACTGATTTTCAATTCATGTTTGACATCGTCTATCTGATATTTGATATTGAATCTAAAAACTGAATGAACAACATTCGTTAGCCGCTACTACTCACGATTATCTCGAGATCCTCGTGAAGGTTTTTACAACTCGCGGCGAATTGCTCCGTGGTCGCGTACTCAAAGTACCACAGCTTATTTTTCATTCTGCTATTAAATTTCTCGGGATTCTTTTCCCTTTCCATGTGAAACTTCACGCAAATAGCGGCATCAACGCCCACCGAGAAGTAATTATTAATAATATTATACGGTATGCTGTCTTGATTCGGTTTCTTTTCGTCCTTTTGGTCTAGAACATCTATTTGCCAACGATCCATCATTACCGGCGTTGCCTTCTCTATTTTCTGTAAGTTAAAAAAATAAATAAATGAATAATTTGGATTTTACGTAACCAACTTTTCTAGCAATTTTAGTTGGTGCACATGTATGTGAAAACGTACATAATAAAAAATAATATAAATAATCCCTGGAAGAGAAATGTATATAGTTTGCTTAGACATCTGCTCAGTTATTATTTAATATTAATATGTTTTATAAATTAGTTGTATAAATACTGCGTAACAATTGGACAAGAATATAATAGAGTTTTATTAGTTGTAAAAATATTGCGTAGTAATTGGACAAGAACTTAATAAAGTTTTATTCAGTGATTGAGCAGTTTAATATAATCGATACATTAGGACTGATTCTTTCTAAGACATAGTATCAGTAATATTAATTCAATTTTATAATATGTACGTATTATAATATCTATCGTAAATAAATTTAAAATATGATTATTTATGTTGTTAAAAATGAGCTTAAAAGTGCGTAGACGAAGAGTGAATGTATAGAAAAGTATACAGTAAGAAAAAAATTTGAGGAAATAAATCATTTAATAATGTTAAAGGGATATTGAAGTCGATGAGGAATTCGAACAATGTCAATAACGCAGAGACGATCGTCATTAACACAATTACGTTATTCTTTCCCTATATTTTATATATATATAGATCTTATATATATATACAGGATGGGCTATTTTAATTTATCCAGTCGAATATTTCGAAAACTAACCGGTAGACAAGAATGTTTCAGACAAAAGTTATATGGATCGATGGGGAACATAAAAAGGTACCATTGTAAGGTTTTACCTTACGTGGTCCCGCCAAGGTCAGGTCGAGGTCAACTTTGCTTTTTTAAATAGAAATAAACATTTTTTTATTACGAAGTTTTATTCTACGTAAAGAAGCAAACAACTTTTGTTTGAAAACATTTTTTATCCGACCTTTATTTTCAAAATATTTACGGAAATATTTACAAAATTATTTCAATAATTTTTTACTCGAATTCTATTAACTTTACCGAAAAATAGCAAGAGATAAAAATTATCTATTTTATTTTCATAGAGCTCTGAGATTTTTTTCAGAATTTTTTTATTAACTTTTTAGTATTGCATTTTCTTAAAGTACTAAAAAGTTAATTAAAAATTTTAGAAAAATTCTCAGATCTCTATGAGAAGAAAATAGATAATTTTTATCTCTTACTATTTTTCGGTAAAGTTGATAGAATTCGAGTAAAAAATTATTGAAACCAATAATTTTGTAGATATTTCCGTAAATATCTTAGAAAATTACGGTCGTATAAAAAATGTTTTCAAACAAAAGTTGTTTGTTTCTTTACGTAGAATAAAATTTCATAATAAAAAATGTATGTTTCTATTTAAAAAAGCAAAGTTGACTTCGATCTGACCTTGGCGGGGCCACGCAAGGTCAAACCAATGATACTTTTTTATGTCCCCCATCGATCCATATAACTTTTATTTGAAACATTTTTGTTTGTCGGTCTTAGTTTTCGAAATATTCGGCTCGATAAATTAAAATGGCCCACCCTGTATATATGCAATTGTATTTTGCTTTACTTTACTATTACTTTTTTTTTATATTTAAAGAAAAATCTAACCATGCATATATAGAAATCTTTCTGTAAGCTTTTTCGATATTTTTAAGCTTCTGAATTCAGATATAAAGGTATAGCAATATTTTTTAAAATTTTTCTGAACGGAGCAAACTCGCGCTTTCAATATATACAATAAATATATATTAAATAAATACACAAGCTAGAGATTTTTTGTACCAAGTGAGTATTTACTTTGAACCTTGTAGGAAAAAGTCAGTATTTTGATAATAAAAATTTCGACATATTTTGATAATAAAAATTTCGACATATTTTGATACAGTATTTTGATAATAAAAATTTCCTCTCGATAACGTAGAGAAGATTGCGTCACTAACACGATCATACCATTCTTTTTGTATTCCTTGTATATACATATAAATTTTATACAAATATGCGCTGTTTTGTTTAACCATATGTGCTAACAGAAATATATGTGCTAGCAGAAAATATAACCACACATATACAGAGTGGTATCGCTACCGCATTATCTCTTAAGGGCGGATTCTTGAGGTAATTTGAATAAAAAAATTCTAATGCAAAAATGTTGAGGCTATAATACTTTTCAAATTATAAACGATTAAAGTTGACTGATTAAATTATACTGGCTAAAGTACGCGCACTTAGATATGGTACAACACGCAACAGTACAGGTGCATGCACATGTCGCCCTTTTTCCAAATATTGATACGGAAGTTCCTTACATACAACAACATATGTAATAATAATCTGCCTAGTGGTGGGATACCCTATATAAATCTTTCTGCAGTATGTTTTGCGTACACTTTTGAGCTTCTACATTCAGTTATAAAAATATAGTAATATTCTTTGAAATTTTCGTTAGCAGAGCAAATACACGTGCAATACGTACAAGCTATAGAACTTTTGTGTTAATTAAATTTTTATGTCAATAGCTTATGTTCCTATAAACGGATGCCACATTTGAAAATTTTACTGACACAAATATTGACTTTTTTCTGCAAAGTTTACATCATATTAGTTGCACAGAATTATAAATGCTTTTACACACTGAAACGTGCAATAATGAATTGGAGCATGGCTCAATAGTGATGAAAACATTTTGAACTAATATCTGGAACTGTTATTAAGATATTTTAAAGACATCTTTCTGATAACTCTTTTATACATCTTAGGAATTTTAAGAATCTTTTAGACGTTTGAATAATGTTGCATGCAATCTCAGTAAACACTAAGTAATAGTTATATAACACTGTCGGTTCTAATTTTCCACACACACAACAATATAATTGTTATATAACACGCGCGTTATATAACAATTACATTATTGAGTAGGAAATTATAACTAATAGTTATGTACCTGTTACTTGGTATTTGCGGAGATATATATGATTGTTATATAATCTTATTATACCCGTTCTACATTATATATATGATTGTTATATAATCTATTAATATAATACATTACATATAATATAATACATTACATATTTTTACATATTTCGCGTATGATTTTCCAGCGTTCAGCTTTTATTTTATTGACTCTTCTTTATATTTCTATTTAGATTGTTATTATCTCGGAGCTTTTCAATATATTAATACTTCAGTAATTATTATTACAGGAATAAATTTTTTAATCAGGATACTAAGTGTACAATTTGTCTTACCTTAAGAACCTTGTGTACCGCTTCTCCTTCGTAGCCACCGCCCCAACGCAAGCACCTGGCAAGATCGTTTCCTGTACCGAGAGGAATAACGCCAACGGCAGGTTGATATTCGAACTGCACTCGATCTAGATTAAACAGTTACACGATTGTAGTGTGTTGTCAAATACTAAATTATTAAACCGTTAATAATTTAGCGAGTCAACTTCAAAACGACAAGTTTATAATACATGTAATCGATTAATCGACGGGTCTATCAGAATTTTCAGACACAATTCATGGTTTATGCAGATAATTTTCGAATTATATCCCCTGCACATACGCGCGGTTAACACGATAATGTTGTCGAATCTATTACTTTTCTCTAATCTATTACTTTCTCTGTCGAATCTATTACTCTAAAGTATTACTTTTACTATTTTTAACGCGCGCCTTGTTGCACAACTATATCATCGCGACACCATTTTATTCCCATTATTGATGAATTAGATTGAAGAACAACGATAGTAACAATTGAATTGCGCGAGCTCTCAACGCGATGCGTACCCATAGTCTCCAGGACCCAACCAACTGTGCCGTCACCGCCGCAACAAATCACTTTGAAATTCTCCACATCCTTAAACATCTGCAGGCCTTGCATGGGTCCGCCAATCGCTAAATTATGGACCTGCCGGGGGTTCAGGATATATTGAAATTTTCGTAGCATTCGCTCCCCTTGCCGGCCGCCCGACTTTGGATTTATGAATACCAAAAGCGGCATCGTGCCAGACGGAGGTGTGATTTGGAAGGACATAGCCGGTTGCTGACTCGACGAACTGCCGCATGTCAAGTAACCGCCCTGTTAAGTTCAACATTTATTCGTTACGTTACGCACATGTGACTCATGTATACGGTTCGAAGTTTTCCGGAAAAATATTTTTTCCGTGAAATTTTTCATATTTTTTCTAAAAAAATGAAAAAATATGAAAAATATTTTTTTTATTATATTGCTTTTAATTCACCTTTCTAAAGTTATAGGGAGATATTTTACTTTTTTCACAGCATATAAAGTCCAGCATAGTAAAGCCCGTTTTACAGTAAAAATATAGTTTAAGAAATTTTGGATAGATGACTTTTCCTTTATAACAAAATACTTCGGATTTTATAAAAAATAACATAATATATTATAATATTACAGCATGTGATGTAGTTTATATCAACGTAAAAAACAGTAGTTTTCTGCAGCCTCTAAGATTTTGATATGTAAAGCAAAAAACATATAGAAATAAAAAAATTAAATACTTTCCATATTTTGCTTTGGAAAAAATACAAAGGAAAGTTTTTCGAAAAAAACAGAAATTTTCCAATTTTACCGGAAATTTGTCTCAGAACCCTACTCAGGTAGCCAAATCTGTGTAGGGAGATTCTAAGCAGAGTCCGCTATAAATTTTTGATGCCAAAAAGACTAAAAATCTCACACAGAATCTATACTATTTAACAATATTGCCAAGCTGCTGACAGAGCTTGCTGACTAGTTATGCCAGTATATTGGCGGCAGTAACCGAGCAGATCCTATTGCGTGCAATTTGGCGGTAGGACCTTCTCGGTTTCTGTCGCCAATCTGTCATCAGTAGCCCGCCCATATAGGACAAAAGACAATTTCAATGCAATACAACTTTATTAGGATAAAAACGGCCATATAGGACAAAAGACAATTTCAATGCAATACAACTTTATTAGGATAAAAACGGCCATATAGGACAAAAGACAATTTCAATGCAATACAACTTTATTAGGATAAAAAATAACATTTTCATAGGATTTTTATATAAATCCCATTTGTTATCATAATAAAAAAATTTGAGTACAAGCCGCAATTCATTAAAAAATAGACAAAAACTAAAAAATGGAGAGATAGTTGTACACATTACAACATTTTCATCGGAAACCTTTTACTGTGACTGTACCGTTATCACATCAGAGGTTTTTTGCTGTGACTGTATCGCATACTACTTTGATATGACTCATATATAGACCGCTCACACATGAGTTATCAATTTTGATATGGCTCATATATAGACCGTTCACACATAGCTGTCCCCGTAGCTCGGAGGGATAGCACATGTCTAATAAACTTGAGGTTGCCGGTTCGAATCGCTCTTCAGACTTAGTCCTTTGGATGAATCCACTCAATCCAAAATTTTATTTACTAAGAGCGGCCGGCTTGCTAAATAACGTGACATGTTAATAAAAAACTGAGTCGGGTTCCTGACGCCAGGAAAGGGGAGTGAGCTCCCCTGAGGGGTGTGATTTCTTCTTTGGGCGATCTAAACTAGCTAGACGGATCAGAAATCGACTGCATGCCTCAAAGTACCTTACCCCTCATGGAAGGAGAAACGAAGAAGAAGAAGAACCAAGTAAAAAAACAGTGGACGATGAAGGTAGAAAAACGAAGAAGAAGAAAAGCCAAGTAAAACATTATTTGACTGGTATATACTGTGGATGATGAAGGTAGAAGAACGAAGAAGAAGAAGAACCAAGTAAGAAAATCACCTGATGGATATATACAGTGGATGATGAAGGTAGAAGAATGTTTAAGACCAGCACTGAAAGTACAATATATTGTCAGGTGATACCGTCAGGTGATTTCCTCACAGAGGTTTTTGAATCTGTCAAGTGATTTCCTCACAAAGGTTTTTGAACCTGTCAGGTGATTTTCTCACAGAGGTTTTTGCACCCATAAACTAGAAGTTAGCTCTTACCGGCACTCTCGATGGCTCTTATATCCATTCAATCCAACATCTTTTAAATATTTTTCTTTTGGAAAGAATTCTAAATTATTAATAAATTGTTCTTCTTTTTTATAAATATCTTCTTTTGAGATACTTTCAAATGTATATAAAGCTAATAATGATACATAAAATTTATAACTTATTTTAAATTCCTGTAATTTTTGTTTATTTTTTAAGTTTTTTCTTAATACTTCAACAATCCCCACAGAAAGAGATAAAGCAGCCAATGGTAAAAAAGCAAAAGCAGTTAAACCAGATGCATTACAAAGAAATTCACTAGTAACTAAAATTAATTCAATATTTCTATAATACTTATATGATCGTGGATAAACATATTTTTTTTTTCTAAATATTCTATAATATCGGGGTTAGTCCCGTTGAATTCTTTCATTTATATGCATAAACAATACCGCTTGCGCGTCGGTACGTCATAGCCTTTCAAGCGTTTAAGGAGTTAAAAATATTTTTTATAATATTAACGTGTGCTGCTCTTTCTGATTCAACAATTGCATAAACACAATAATTTTTTCTGGTTGTGTTCGTAACCTCCATACAAATTATAAAACATCTGATTTTATTCCACTAAAAGTATTATCTTCATTTTCTTTCGATTAATCAAAACAGATAATTGGATATAATGTACAATAATTTTTATATGAAACTGATATTTCATCATCTTGTGATTTATAACCAATATCTAAAAAGGCCGCATACATTCTTGAACAATCTATTTGATTAGGTGTAAAGTCAGTTCTATACTTAAAAACAGGATATTGTTTTCCGTTTCGAAGTATATGCGTGCTTTCTAAATTCATGTTGTCAAAAACCATTTATGTTTTTTCAAAATTCTTTTCTCTATCTTGTGAAGAAAGAGTAACATAAACACTGGTTATTTTATATTGACTAGTAATAATATTAAATGATCCCGAATTTGAATTTTGTAAATCACTACGGTAACAATTAATAGCATTCTATCCAAATAAATTAGAGTATAAGCTTTTATTATTCATTGCTTTTGTTATATCGTCTTCTAATATTGATAAAGCACGTAAAGATAGTTTAGCTTCTGGAATAAATAAACTCAAATCTATAATTTTATATTTATAAGCTCCGTTGTAACGTGCAAGTAAAATATTTTTTATATTATTTTTTTTCAGATTTATTTTTATTTCTCCATTTAGCATTTTCTTTACATCTCGACAAAATCTAAAAATATATGATAAAGGAATACATTTTGTAAGTATTTTTTCTTCGCTTGTAAGTTGCCATCTTTCTAAAAATCTTTCATTAAAATTGGGATTGTGTTTTATGTTTTGAACAAATGATAATATATTTTCTTTTACATCTTTTAACTTTATTGAATCATTTAATGCATGTAAGTAAATTTATGTTTTTCAGCACTATCTGATGTATCCATATACCAACAGAGCTGTGATGCTCTAGAATTAAAAACATCTCCTGAAAATTCAATTAGATTTGATACAATCGTTGCAATTCCTGAATAATTTAGATTCAATTAATTGATTTTCATAGTATAGATCAGCTTTTCTAAAGTCATTTACACCATTATTTAAAACAGTTGCATAATCCTGAGGATCATTTATTATTTTTGATTTAACAAGTAAGTAAGCACTATGTGGATATTTCCATTTACTATTTCTTACATTTATTTCATAATTTTCCAAATCCTTAACATTTACGTTATTTTCCTTATATTCAACAAATGCAAAAGCTTTTGTTGATGAATCTACAACAGAAGGATCAAGTATGTTTCAAAATTGATTTACTATTTCTTCCATTTAATAGAAGATAAAATTAAAATATTTTCAACTCGGAACTGTTTTTTAATTGTCCTTCGGGCTTAGTCCTTTGGACGAATTTAGGACCACTTTTTAATATAAGATTTTTAATAATATTTTTAGACTTTCGACTTAATCCTTCACCTCTAAAGTACTCAATTAGCGGTTTTTCAGAAGTATTTTTTAAAATTGGATTTAAAATTTCGTTTTTAACTTATTTTTTTATATTAGAAAATTTTGGTGGATTTTCTTTCATTAATAGATTTTTTATTATAGTTTTACTTCTTTCATTTAGCACTTTCTTAATACTGTCTTTATTAATTTTTATAAAAGGTTTAACAATTTTATTCATTACAAATCTTTTCGCAGGAAACACAAATTTTCTAAAAATATTACCTCCATGAATATTGTTATAATATTTAATCCCGCCTATACTATATTGTACTGGAAATAATTGTTTGTTCGATGTTAGAATAGTCATTTATAAGTAATTATTTTAGGTCACAGGCAACTTTCGTCTTACAAAAGTAAATGAAAGGTTTTCCCCATTAAAATCAATTTCACGATTCAATTGATCTATAACTCTAATTTTAATGCTATGTATAAAATAAAATCGATTAATAGGTAAATATTTTGGATTAAATGGCTCAATATTAATTAATGATCCAGGAGAAACAGTAGGGATATTAATGTGTAAATTACATCAGATGGCAAGTTATTCATATATGAATTGCTAATTATATTACAATAAATTAAAATTTTATCAACATTACGTGTAATATTTCTTATATTTGCTGCGATGTTAATATATTCCTTATAAATTATATTATTTTTAAAACCAAGTAATTTATGAATTTTGCCTTCTTTAAATCTTACACGATATTTAGGATTGTTGATAACCAAGATGAAACGTTTAACAGCATTGTTAACATCAAATATAAATGGTAGAATAGCTTCTTTATTCAGGTCTGTCATAAACACATCTTCTAGAAAATAATTTAATTCATCAACATCATATAGACCATTTGAATTTTGTAAATTCATTTGGAATTGTAATAATATTCCAAGTTTTGCCAGCATTATTCTATTTTATTATTATTAAAAAGTTTACTTATGTTATTCCATGAATACTATAATCCGGCTTGTGTCAATGTTATTTCATAATTATCTTTACTAATGTCAAGTAGATTAGAATAAAAAACTTCAAAATCATTGTTTTTAAAATTCACAATTAATAAATCATTTATAATATAAAAATTTTAGAATTC